ATGATGATGATGATGATGATGATGATGATGATAATAATGATAATAATAATAATGATAATGATAATAATAATGATAATAATAATAATGATGATAATAATAATAATTATATAATCATTACAATATGATAATGATATTGATGAATGATGATGATAATAATTACTATTATAATAATAATGCAGTGCTAGATCTTTTGTTGCGCACGGAGTGCGATTGGGCGTATAATAAATATGGACTTTCAGGTCAATTTTGATGAAGCAGAAATCAGTTTGACGTAATGTGTACTGATCAGCGCTATATCCCAACCCAATCCAACCTGATCTGATCCTATCCGACCCAATCCGATCCGATCCGATCTGATCCGACCCGACACGATCTGATCATGCATTTGACCGGTGGGCATCCGCTATACTACAAGACATCACCACAGAATTCTACACTCATAGAAACGAAACTCCTCTCTTCGCGATCGCTGAGTGTAGAATTCAGTGGACATCACAGAAATACAGAAATCTTCTACTTACAAAGTTCTTGTTTTTACTATTCCGGCTGTCACCATGGAAACGGCGGCTGTAGTGAGGGAGAAGGCCTGTGTGTCCCGAACCACACACAGCCAACGTAGGCCGCAGGCTGAATACAGCTTGTCACTGGTCACGAGAGAGAGAGAGAGAGAGAGAGAGAGAGAGAGAGAGAGAGAGAGAGAGAGAGAGAGGGAGAGAGCGAGAGAGATCTGACAGAGAATCCACTGCAGTGAGTCACCAACCTCTTAATGTGCCGTCTCAAAATCTGGTCAGCGCGCTGATAACGCCAACATTAATTGATTATCCATCTAAACAAAACAGCTTTTACACAACAGGAAACCGTAACTGGTCTTCTCAATAATGCGGTGCTTCTAAAGCTATATACATGAAAGTACGACTAAACTGTCATTCAGCAGTAGTTGAGGATTTAAAGAAAAAAAAAGAAAGACTTCTTGAGCCCATTCTGACTCTCTCCCTCTTCTCCCTCATGCATGCGAAATCTTCGCGTGTCCGCTCCCCGCCTGACGCACGTGCAAGGAATTCACCGGCAAACAGCACTCATTCACTCCCTACATCGCTCTCTCACTCTCATTCCTCCTCTCCTTCTTTCCTTCACACACTCACTCACTCACTCACTCACTCGCCCAGGTAGACAACGGAACCGTTCATTCTGCCTATGTCGCTGAAACCCAGAGCCAAAAAGCTCTATCCCTGCTACCTGCTCTTGCAGTTGATAGGACTTTTTTCTACTCTCGAGTTCAGGATTAGCTTCCAGCTTGTGAGTTTTCAGAGCTCGTTTCTCGGAGTGGGGGGAAGCGCGTGCCATTTTCTACCCTAGTTTACCTGTGAGTCTTACATCCTCTGTAGTGCCACAGTAGTGCTGCTACCGGTATGCAATGGCTACCTTACTTCCTCACGTTCTCTGTCGTAACTGGCTGGCTGGCTGAGTCTAAATAATATTTATTATAATGCACTTGTATTTATGACTGATGCCTTTGGTGTATATGGTCATCTGCTTGCTCGTCTGTTTTGCACCCTATCTTC